AAAGATGATAGGCTTTCTTAACCATAGTGGTTATCCTGCGCTTTTGTGATGCAGTACTCTGTTCACACAAGTACGAGGCATCTCTGCTCGCTTTGGCTAAACAGAAATGTGTCCCTTTGCAAAATCAAACACTGACAAAGAAGAGAGTATGACACTGTATGATTTCTAGAGCTGATATAGGGCAATTTGTTCAGCAGAGTGATGTAAGCTTCGTTGTGATTGCATCACCCATGACTTCTAGGAATAACATGATGTAATTCATATCATGTTTGACGCAATACCAGCTTCAGATTGCATCATTCATTGTTTTGCCTAAAAAGCAAGTACTGTCCAAACCCAGTCATAGATTTATTCACAGATCCAGTCAAAGATGTATTTTAGTCATTACTGGTTTAAATTGAGATCCCTTCCCTTTATAACTCACTTATCCTCCACCATTCCCAAGTCAAGGGTCGTATATACTGACCCAATAGCATATCTTGAAAACTAGAACCAATCAACAATTTTAAGCATCATTTTCATTCTCAGTGACCCAGAATTAGTAAAGTTTGACTACATTTATTTCAGAAGCATTTTGGCTGTAGAGCAGTGTTATAAATATCTACACTGTAAAAATGATAAACAAAAGAAACAGTATTTTTCAATTCACCTCATACAAGTACTGTAGTGCAATCTCTGTCGTGAAAATGCAACTTACAAATGTACATTTTTTTGATACATAACTGCGCTCAAAAACAAAACAATGTAAAACTTCAAAGCCTACAAATCCACTCAATCCTACTCCTTTTTTAGCCAATCACAAGCAGACAAATAAGTTTGTTTACATTTACAGGAGATAATGCTGCCCTCTTCTTATTTACAATGTCATCCGAAAGTGAGAACAGGCATTTGCTTGGCACTTTTGTAGCCGGCATTGCAAGGTATTTACGTGCCAGATATGCTAAACAGAAGTCTTAAAAGAGTAACACTCTGATGCGGAAACTACAGAACCTGAACCACCAAAACCAAAAACAACCTTCTGCTGGTGGCATCTGACTCAGATAATGAAAATGAACATTCATCGGTCCATATTGTTTTGGATTGTTATCGAGCAGAACCCGTCATCAGCACAGATCCATGTCCCCTCGAACGGTGGTTGAAACATGAAGGGACATACGAATCATTAGTGCGTCTGCACGTAAATATCTTGCAATGCCGGCTACAACAGTGCCATGTGAACGCCTGTTCTCACTTTCAGGTGACATTGTAAACAAGAAACATTATCTCCTGCAAATGTAAACAAACTTGTTCGTCTTAGCGATGGGCTGAACAAGAAGTATGACTGAGTGGACTTGCAGCCTCTAAAATTTTACATTGTTTTATTTTTGAATGCAGGTTTTTTTTACATAATTCTACATTTGTAAGTTCAACTTCCATGATACAGGAATTGCATTACAGTACTTGTATTAGGCAAATTGAAAAATACCTTTTTTCTTTTGTTTTTTTACAGTGCAAATACTTGTAATAAAAAATAAATATAAAGGGAGGACTGTACACTTTGTATTCTATGTTGTAATTGAAATCAATATATTTGAAAATGTAGAAAACATCCAAAAATATTTAAATAAACGGTATTATATTAATTTTTTTAATCGCGCAATTAATTGCAATTAAATTTTTTAATCACTTGACAGCCCTAGTACTTACCCCTTCTATCTATCTCAGGCATTATACAGACCTCTCACTGCAGCATCTGAGCACCTTACAGTCTTTAATATAGTTATGCTCCCAACGCCCTGGGAAGTAAGGCAGTGCTATTATCCTTATTGTAGAGATGGGGAATTGTGGTCCAGAGAGATTAAGCAACTGGCCCAAGGTTATACAGGGAGTCTGTAAAAGAGCAGGGAACTGAACTTCGTTTGCTCAAATCCTAGGCGGGTGCTCTAACCACCATCCCTCCTCAGACATCCCTTAGACTGCATAGCCCACCTGCCATATAGATGGTCCACTGGATTCAAGCTCTGTATCTCAAGAGAGGGCAAGTGAAGGGGCAAATAATGGCTGTTTGCCATAGCACTACCTAACCCCAAATAAAACCAATCCAGGGCCTCACCCAGTATACAACTTCATACTGACCATATCTCTGTTCAGCCTGACCTGGTTCCCTGCCTGTTCTGTGAAACAATGAGAGCAGCAGAGAGCAGGCATCACAACTCCTGAAGAAGCCACACTGCCAGGAAGCTGGGCTGTGGAGATGGCAGAAGGGAGTGACTTCTGTGCCAATGGCAGCTGTCTCCAGCAGCTCTCCTATGACCTATACATTCATCAAGGACCTATGGATTTTTGGAGATGGGGACCTCCTGCCGCTTCTGTGAATCCCCGATAGAAAGATTTCTTCCCCGATGTCTGATTAACCCTTGCAGGAAAACACTGAGCCCAATTCACTGCTATGCAAGATGGGAGAGCCCATTATTAAATAACCTTCTCTTTGTTAAGATCAAGCACCTTGTGTCTATCACTGTAAGGCAGGTTTTCTAATCCTTTAATCATTCACATGGCTCTTCGCTGAACGCTCTTCAATTTATTAACATCCTTCTTGACTCCCTTTCTCCAAACCACACTGCAAATCAAGCATAAAATGTTCTTAATTATAAACAACACATCTGCTGTTACCAACAGCCAATACTTAGAACTAAATTATACAGAGGAAGTTTGCAGCATTAATTGTAATGGAGGCTCAAGCTGAATGTAGAGAGATGAAAACTCTGAATGGGATTGGCTGAAGATCAGTAACAGGTTGGTGGCTCCTCTACTGCTCTGTAGCTATGCCACATCTTATCTTCTTCTGAAGGATACTCTTGCTTTCTGGCCTCAGTTGCAGGGCACGATTAGCTAATTTTTAACAGAGCGGTGGGCTGTGGAGGCAAAAGGTCCTAGCAAAACCAGAAGTGTGGCCTTACACTGAAGGAGACTTGAAATCTTATTACTACTGAACATTTAAATTGCAGTAGTGCCTAGCTTTGACCAAGCTAGGATCCATTGTGCTAGGTACTGTACAAATATAGTATGACTGACAATCTGGGCCCTGCTCATCAAAGGGATTTAGGCACCTAATTCCCAATGGGAAATCAATGGGAGTTAGGTGCCTAAATAGCTTTGGGGATCTGCGCCTTACAGGCTAGAAGAAAAGACAACAGGTGATGAGACAACTAAGTAGGTGGGGAAGGGGGGGAACAGCGTTTCCAACTGTCTAGAATCACAAGTGTTTTTCTTAAAGCCCCAGCTTCTAGATTCACATGATTTTGTGAGAACCTGTTTTCATTTCCAAAGAAAAGTAAAGTTTCTAGTGCTCATGGCAGTAGAGAAAGCTTGAAAACATGCATCTGAAGAAGTGAGGTTCTTACCCACGAAAGCTTATGCTCCCAGTACTTCTGTTAGTCTCAAAGGTGC